CAGCTTGTGGAGTTTGGGTGGGGACTTGCAAATAGCAGGCTTCCATTCTTTTGGGTAATTAGACCTGATCTTGTTATTGGAGAATCCGCTATTTTGCCGCCTGAGTTTGTGGCTGAAACAAAGGAAAGAAGTCTAATAGCTGGGTGGTGCCCACAAGAGCAAGTCCTTAACCACCCCTCAGTTGGAGGATTTTTAACTCACAGCGGTTGGAATTCAACGGTTGAGAGCCTTACTGCAGGAGTTCCTATGCTCTGTTGGCCATTCTTCGGAGACCAGCAAATGGACTGTCGCTATACTTGCAATGAATGGGGCATTGGCATGGAGATTAGTAATGATGTGAAGAGGGATGAGGTAGAGAAGCTTGTCAAAGAGTTAATGGAGGGTGAGAAGGGTAAGAAGATGAAAAATAAGGTCATGGAGTGGAAGAAACTTGCAGAAGAAGCTACTGGTCCACATGGTTCTTCATCCACAAACTTAGACAATTTAGTGAATCAAGTGCTATTGAGAAAAAGCTAAAGATGTTACCATAAGAATATTGATGTCTTCCAATGTGACTGCCAATTGCAGAGATTATTATACTGCCAATGTTCTTTTTAGTCATTATACACAGCTCATAATACTTTCACACAAAAATTTACCAAACACTCAACAACTTACTATTGTACCAGCATCACTTTTAATAAAAAGTTTGTCAAACGTCAAACTACTTTCTTTCACAACTGATTTCTCACACAGCAAATCTGACTGTGATTATTTTCACATCACAACAATGCCAACTACTAGCCTTGTTTTAAATTCTTATTTAAATTCCTACATGGTTTAGGATTCGTATTTTAATCTTATTTCCTACCCACTATAAATAAGGCTTTTAGGAAGTCATATTATTACTAGCAAAGGCGCCCGCGCAATGCTGCGGTTTTGAAATTGCGTCAAATGTGTATAAAGTCGTTAAAATACGTAGGGAATAAAGTGACAAATTTACAATAAAGATTTTTTAGAAAAAGTAAAAACTTAAAATGGAACCAAGTGAAAGCAGAGAAAACTACCAAAGGCGTGGAAGGTGTGGAGCATAAAGCATTTAAGTTTTTGAGAGAAATGTGTAGAGAAATAGGGTGTAGAAGGTGTGGATCAAGGATTGTAATATCGGCCGATACACCGATATATCGGTATTTTCAACTATCGACACCGATACTGAGGGGGTAAGGCCATATCTTCCCATGTATCGACGATATATCCCCCAATAAGTGCAATATTCCCGATATTTTGCCGATATCCCCGATATTTCCCGGTACCCATAACAGAACCCAAAAAAAATTCAAAAGTTTTGAAAGCAATTGAAGCAAATTGAAACCCAAAAATAGCTAATCCTTGCCCAGAATCCTATAATTTATTAATATAGAGAATTTTTGCACAGTCCACTGCCCACATACCTCCAATCCATCTAAAGAGGATATGGCGATCAATTTTGGATCTATAAGCATAGAAACTAGACCTAGTACTAACTCAAATGAATCTTATGATGGCTATGGTTATGTCATGTCTGATTATAGTGGAACTAGTTATGGAGTTTAAGATGATGAAACAGATTATGGACCTACTAGTTAGGTTAATCCTAACTATCCCATATATGGGAGGACAGTAGGGAGCTCAAGAGATACCTATGTGCACCATGTTCAAACATGGCTTACAAACTGCTTGGGTTACATGACTTGGTATGACTATTGTATGAATCTGGATGGTTGTTCCTCATTGTTTGAACCTCATGTAGATGGACTCTTATCAAAATTGTAATCCAATGATTAAACAAACTATGGATTTATGTATGGTTTTTTCATTCTAACAGTTTATTTTCAAACTTTTCATTAACGCACATTACATACCACTTATATTTCATCATATGTATATCTTATTATTAGTAAATTTTGAGTTTTATTTGTTCAATACATTTATTGATAATGTACATAACATCTATGAAAGTTTTACACCAAAATTGTGTTTCAATGCCTATATCTGTCATTTTCAGTGATTTTTTCCCGATACCTAAAACGATAACGATATATCTCCGAAATATCCGTAAATTGGAGGCCCGATATTATCTGCACGGCCGATATTTTAATCCTTGGTGTGGATATGCTGATAAGTTTTTCATAAACTCCCAAAGAAAAAATTAGCCAAAATACAGACGCAAAAAAAGAATCGTAATCAATTCCAGATAATAAAGGTAGTGTTCAAACTTAGAAAGATAGAAGAATCAAAATTCAGAATTAGAATTCAGATAATGGAGATAGTGTCCAAACTCTGAACATCTCTAACATGACATCACCAAATCAGTAAATATTACACAAAATTAGTATAAAAACACATGAACATAAAAACAAAAACAAAAAATTAAAAAAGCAAATATTAACAACAATAGATCATTACACAATTTAGGGTGACCCTAACAACAATTGAGGGATTGATTGCTTTTGTTGGAAACCAAAGCAAGTGTTTCTAAAACAGAGAATAAGAGCATAAAAGTTTATGAATGTTAGATGCCCATTTCTACTTTTCCCTCCTCTTCCTCTGTTTCCCGAGAAAGCAAATGAACAGAATCAGCCAAATATCACCAAAACCAAATATATGGTAGTTAATTAAATGCCAAAGAAGTGCCAAAGAATCATTGAGCATACAAAAATCAAAAATCTGAGTCACGACTTGCAGAAGATTAGCCCTTTGCTGGTAGCTCCTTTCACTTGCAAACTCCTTGGTGTTCCAGTGCCACAACTTCTTCAGTACTTGCTGCACAATCCAAGCTCTACAGTACTTCATGCACAATCCAAGCCCTGCAAGCTACACTGGTATTTGTTATGGGTTGCCATAAAAGGAAATTTTCATTCTTACGGGTCAGTATGTAAGAATCTATAAATGCGTTGCAAAACTTCCACAAATATCAAATCAAACAACAGCTTAGTGGCGGCATGTATGTACCAAATTGTGGCACATCCCATTTTAGCTTATAAATTGTCAAATAAGAAATCTAAATACGCATACTACAGGACACATTCATATCATATAAATTGAAAGGATGAGACCAATATTTTGCAAAAGCACAAAATTTTATTAACATCCCAACAAACCTAGAGGATAAAAACCGATAATCAAATCAATCATGAAATGGAGAATTACAGACAGAATATGCACACATAAGGAAGACATGCAACAATCAAGACCACTTGCGCCACCCGTTTCTTTGTAATTGATCTTTCACTTTTTCATTGTCAATCTAACATACTTATAAATCTTTACGAATCAAATTTTACAATAATTTGGGTTCCCGTAACTTACCTTCAATTTTGTTAGTTTATACTTTGCTACTTGCCTACTCCAATTATCAAAAGAAAACTGTACCAAAAATTGTGTCATTTTCGTTGGAAAATTCAAAATTAAATGTTATGTTTATATATATATAAAAATTCATTCTAAAACTGGTGGAGTGAAGTACTCGCAGAATATGTAACTCTTGCTTTCTGTTGAAAAGACAGATTCATCTTCTATTCCTATAATATATCTGTACATTGCACAAAACGTACTAAGAAAAAAAAAAAAGGGAGTTTCACTAAAACACCCAAAATAGAGGTTGAAATTATAAAAAAACCCAACACCAAAATACTTTATAAACATACTCAAAACCTATCATTACACACATTCAAAACTCATTTATAAACACACCCAAAAAGTTGACTTTGGGGTTGATTATGGGTGTGTTTCTATGTTTAAAAAGTGTTTGGGTTTTTTTATAAATACATGTCTAGGATTGGGTTTATTTATAAATTTGTAAAAAAAAAAAAGTTTTGGACAGAGACATCAGAGTAAATATTAAAAAAGAGAGGAAAAACTTATCACCTTAGGGGGAACTGATTTTGGAAAATTAGAACCTCAATACAAAAGAAAGGTTTGCAATTTCGCAGACACATGTGAGAGCCCAAAATTCATCGAAACAAAACACTAAAGCCAAGAGGAGCCTTTATTCAGCAAAGTGGAGGCTTCAATTTTGAAGAAAAAAAACAGAAAAAAAGAAGAAAAAACATACGTCTTCAATTCAACCGGGCATTATTTCGAGGGGATGGCAAGCCCCTATTCACGCACAAACAGTCACCTCCCATTACCAATTCAAAAGCTTGTTCAATCCCATCAGAGGGGAGAAATAAATCAAAATTAATAAAAGGGAAAGAAATTGAAATACAGTGGAGGCAATTAAAAGATGCAAACCTTGTTTCTATTTCAAAGTCCATGAATAGATGTAATTGCACCATTTTGTTGTTGTAGTCCTGCAATGCATTCAGTCATCGGCTTCACCCAAGCAACTCTGAGTGCCAATTCAAATCCACCAAGAACCAATCCATAAGCTCAAACATAAAACCTAATCAGATGATAAACCATCACACAAAAGGCTTAATTTTGGTCCAGAAGAGCAATTCGAGGATATGGTTCTTACCTGAAATGCTTTGGTGAGGTTGCAGAATCACCTTTGTCCTCATGCTCAAACCCTTCAACAACAAAAAAACAATGAAAGGAAATTTTCATTGCAATTCCAAGCACATGCAAGAAAGAACAAAGGCATCAAATTTTCAATCCAACATAACTATAGAACAAAGACTCAAACTTTTGCCTTTATGTCCTTGAGATTCCACAGAAACCCAAGTGATTTCAACAAAAAGTACTAATGTTATTAAGTGGGTGACCTCAAACGCTCTTATAAGCATAATATTGAACTCCAACCCACAAAACAGCAGTAAAATGTTTAAAAAGATGAAATTTTTTGTTTGAATGATCTTATATTGAACCAACCATCTTTACCTTCTAGTTGAGAGACTGGTCGATCAGTTCAGAATATCAGCTCCCAATCATATTTCCTTTTAGATGTAAACAGATATTAAGCTCCCAGGATTCATTATCCACATGCTCAAATATAGAAAGACTGAGAGATCTTGCCTGCTTAATACTTTTTTGTTTGAGAACCTAGGCGAGACCATCGGTCCCAGACGATATATTGATCATGTCATTCCTTCCTCTTCCTCTGTTTCTCGAGAAAGCAAATAAACAGAATCAGCCAAATATCACCACAAACCGAAAGTATGGTAGTTAATTAAATGCCAAAGTATGAAGTGCTAAAGAATCATTGAGCATGCAATAAACAGAAATCTAAGTCACCACTTGTAGAAGATTACCCCTTTGCTGGAAACTCCTTTTTTTCTTTTTTCTTTTTTGATAAAATTGGGGGGGACAAAACCCCAAAAAAAAACCCGAAAGCCTAACCAGTACAAATCAAACGGCCTCGAGTGACACCCAACAGATCATCAGCTAACGCAGAGCTAGCCCAGATAGGAGCTGAAACAAAAAACTGAATATCTAAGTCTAGATTATGGCTCCATTTGGCAAGGCAATCCGTCAAACCATTCTTCTCTCTAAAAATATGCTAGATATTCCAACTCTCAAAATGTCTAAGCATCTTCCCCTATAGTTTGAGAGCAAAGCAGCTAGAGGATGGAAACATAGAGAATCCCTTTGTTGGAATAGATTCATAGCAATATGAGAATCCATTTCTATGAGGATCTTGGTGAAGCCCTTTGCCACTGATAATCGGAGGCCAAAAAACAAACCCCAGATTTCAACAT